GGGTTAATGTTGTAAGGCTAGCTATAGAAATTTGGGGATTTGGATAGGGTGGTAGCACTAAAGGGGGAGGTGGGAAGTGGGGTGAGTGAGAGGGGGAGGCAGCGCAAGGGCTGATGGTTTTTGTGGTCCTTGTGTGTGCTTGGGTATATTTCTATTGTTGTAATAGAGGCTGTTTGTGTTAGGGATTGCAGGGGTTTAGGGTTGTGTAGAGTTGGCATAGTAGGTTGGTCAGTGAGTGATGAGTGTGTACGAGTGAGGGGTACTCTCGTAGGGAGAGAATGGGAGGGGAAGGTGAGAGCTGGGTGAAGAGAGTGGATGAGAAGGGGCAGAATGAGTTGTTGGGGAGGGAAGCAATGGATTTTAGTACAAAAGAAGGAGGGAAGTGAAGGGTGTGAGAGTAGGGATTAGAAGATTATGATGGTAAAGTTGATAGTACAGAAAGAAAAAAAAGATAATAAGAATAAAAATAAAAATAGAAAACCCACAATAACAAAACAAACAAAAAAAAATAAAAGAAATCATTGGGAAAAAATGAACAAACAAATAAAAAACCCAAACAAACAAACAGAAAGAAAAACACCAGGTTCAGGAACAATACAATTTCAGTCTTAGTTTATGTTCTGGAGTTACTTCTCTGGCATCCAGTCCTGATATTAGCATATAAGCAGAAGCTCCGATGTGGTCTTGCTGGGTGCTTGGCTTGTGAGTAGTGTTTTATTCTTCTGTCTACCAGTTAAATTAGAATTGTAAAGTGAGGTAGCTTCGCCAGATCATGCAGTGTGGTCAGAGATATTGATTTCCTCAACTGATGGCTGTGCTAACCTTCAGCTGCAGCTGCTTGGTCAGCTCCTTCCCCAGTGAGGTGTGGCAGTTTAAGTTTGAGTGCTGCCCTCAGGTTCAGGAGATCAGTTCTGAAAGGACTTTTTGTCCTGCTTTGGAGGTGACTTTTTGCTGTGATTGTTTACTGGGATTTCTGCACTGGGGGCTTATTTCTTTGCCCTTCTCCCTTTCTCTGGGGCAGGGTCAGTGTTCTGTAAGCCCCCCATGCTGTTGGTGTGTTATGATGTTCGGTGTTTGTTTTTCAATTTTGTGGGGCAGTTTAACTTTGGGTACTGCTCACTGGCTCAGGAGATGAGCTCTGGGATCTGCTACCTACCCTGATTTGGGGAGTGGCTTATTGCCTGCCTGCTCTTGGCCTTCCTGCCTTTCCAGCATTTGTTTACTGATAGTTCTCACTGAGATTAGTTCCTTGCCCCTCCCCCTTTCTCTGGAGCACTTTCAGTGTTCCTGCCCCCTCTGCTGTTGTGCTAGATTACAGTTCACTGTTTGTTGTTCAGTTTTTCTTGAGGGGGGATCAGTCTGCCCAGGGGCTGTGCTGGTTTATCCCAAGGGTGGCTGGGGGAATTCTGCATGACATGTGGAGCCGGCAGTGGCAGCTGCTGTGGCAGTAGCAATCCTCAAGTTTTCTCAGTGTAATGTGTTGTGGGGAAGCTTTCAGGGTACCAAAGGTTTGATTCTGGTTGGTGCTTTATTTCTGCCAAGTGTGGCTCCAGTGTCTCAGGGAGGGTTTGGAGTCATGGGCTTAGGCTATCTGTTTCCATACCCTAGTCATCATCTTGGATTCTCTGTAATCATGTTCTTAAGTAACTTTTCTGAGCAATGATTTACCTCTCTCTCTCTCTCTCTCTCTCTCTCTCTCTCTCTCTCTTTCTCTCTCTCTCTCCTCTCAATGATGGCTTGGAATTTTTAATTGAGTCTGTGGTGATGGTTTAGAATTTTTTCAATTTCTGCATTTTATTATAAGTCCCCCATAATCCTTTTACACATATAAGAATAAAACTAGATGTTAAAGTAGGATTCTTCCTAACGCAGTTTCATCTGGCACAATGTGAAAGGTACCTAGATACCAAAGTGAGATTAAGGTAATTCCTTAATTTATAAAGAGAATCTGAGTTTATATAAATTATAGAAATATATAAATATAAATTCTTGCACTTATAAAGAGAATTGCCCTCATCTTGCCCACTTTTAGACACTTCATCCACATCAAGGACATGAAGTGAGGCCAGAGAAGGGAAAAGTAGAGATTGATGACAGCATTAATAAAGAGCTACAGCCATGGTGTGAGTTACTACCTACTCCCTTTCCAGAAAGATGGGGAACAATGGAGCTTTCTAAACTTAAGCCTGGTAGGAAAACTTCAAGAGAATCTCTTGGAAAGCTTTGAAATTAAGTTAGAATATATCAAGAATTGGCAGCTGAGAAAGTTAAAACAAACCATGTGCTAGAGTGACCCCACTCAAAAAATCTATCATAAAGAAAAGGACCAACTGTTTGGTAGTGGAGATAAGAGAATCTCGCTGCACTGAGGTGTGCTTGTTCTCTTCCGGTTTATTAGAGTGAACTGTCTTTTCTAGCTTCTACTTGAAGGGAATCATCTGATTGCTAACGTGTCAGTTGTCATATTTTTGTTTCTTCTTGCTAATTAAAAAAAAATGATGTATTCCCCAAATGAAATTGTCACATTGGCATAGAATGAAAAGGCAGAAATTTGATCACCAAGATGTACAGATGTACTTCATATAAGGAGTTTGCTCTATTAAATGCATGACTACATCACTTTCAACCAGCAGACATCTTCAGAAGCAGAGCCTGATCCACAATTCTATATAACACACTCTGGTTCAGCTTTGGTGAGGGAAAATGGAAGGCAAAAACCAATTAGTTTGAGACAGGTCAGTGATGGCTTTGATGAGTGACCATGAGCAGGGTGGAGTAGTTGAAGAGGGTACAAGTCAGAAAGTGGAACTATCTGACTAATGCATTAGGAATGGAGGTAGCTATGGACAAAACTAATTGCACCTAGCCCTCACTGTTACCTAACACTTGCTAAGAAGTGTTCATATAGGCAAGGATATCTCTGATGTAATTTTGTGTTCTCAAGATCACTGATTCTAGTTTGATAACCTAAGGATAAACCAGCTGCAGTCCAGTTACTAAAATACATTTTATTGTAGTTTTAAATGCACACAAAGAAACAAAGTATACATTGAAAACGAAGGATGGAATTATAACACCAGGAAAATTCAGATATCAGCTATGGACAGCCATCCCTCTGTCTGAAGTGCAGAAACCTGAGAAATCACTACTTTGGGGGGCTTTTGCTGGGAATGTGTCAGTTTTACTCTTTCTCTTAGCCTGCCTGGATTGTCCCAGGAATGAGGCAGGGACAGAGTAGAGCCATGAAGAAAAGTTTTACAAGCAGTGGTGTGCTGGTAAGATAGCTGTCCAAAAGAAAATCTCTGATTTGTAGTGTTTTCCAATTCCCCTGATATGAATATTCCCCCATAGCCAATTTCAGTGATGGCTCCACTGAATAATCAGAGTACAAAATTCCTAGAAATTTAATAATCACCTCTTATGAGCACACTGCTGCTTATAATAAAACAAAAATCAATACACCAAATTTCTATAAATATATGTGATACAATTTTAATTTCCTGAGAAGACACACAGATATAAAAATATCTTTGTATCCAAGTCATTAACCCTACAGCTACTGAGCAGATGTTAATTAAACAAGAAAATAGCATAGCCTATCCCAAGCAATTTTTGTTGCAAACAATACAAATATTTTAAATTAGCTTTATATGTAATAACATTAACTTAATGTAGTTTTTCACAAATATCTATAAATAGTTTGAATTGTTTTAAAATTTAATACTACATACATTTCAACAAGAACTTACAAGTAGCTACTTTAACAGACCCCAAAATTTGAAATAGAATGCTATTTATTACTTTTAGAAGTTAGCACATTTGACTGAGATGGGCTCTTCAAAGTAAGGAAGGGGTTTCAGTTGGAACGAGCCCTGAGCAGCACCCTGGGTCTCCCTGCTTCAGACAAGGAAAGGAAAGTTAGTTTGCTGGTAAAGGAAAGATCTGTTGTAGCTTCGATCTATCCACACCTTGGGGTGAAAGGGAATATATCTGAAAATTGAACTCACTAAATTTTACAGATGCATAGTGTGGTAACATAAATAGTAACTCTAAAACAGATTGTGTGATATGATTTAATCAATTCATCACTAGTTGAGTTGAGGCAAGACACCTATGTTCCTGCACTTCCATGTTCTCGCTATTGAATTTTTTTCCAAAAATACCTGCCGTATTAAGTTCATAGTTCCCATGTGATATGTGAAATCACTTTGCAAACTGGAGAAAACAAGCTAATATTATTAAATCATTACAAAACATAATCTAGCAATAATAATAATAATAATACGAATTTCTGGGGTTGAATCTAATGACTACTAATTTATCAAGGGAAATGTTTAGACACACACATAGTGAAGCCCTTAGTAAAGGTTCAGAAAGATCCCTTTACCCAATTGGCTTATAAAGCACCCTGTACCCTGAGAATGATAAAATTAAGGAATATTCCCAGATTAAAGTGCATTCTATTTCATGCCTTCTGCACCTCCGTACCTACGGTTCTCAGAGAATTCTCCATCCTCTAAAAACACTATATCTAACCTAAAGTGCCTTTGGCATATCTGGGGTCACTCTACCAGTCTGACTACTTTTTATTCAAAAGGTCTCAGAAGATAGAATTGTAGAAAGAGTAAAGTAAAGCTGCTCAAGAAAATGAGAACAAGGCCAGGCTACCACCCTACACCTTCTTTAAGACTACCATGGAAATAGGACTTCATTTCTATACCCGGGATTCAAGGGTTAGGGAAAGACTCTTTTGGGGAGGTTTTGTCCCCTGCCATTCATATTCACTTTGTCATAGAACATTGCCATTTCTTTGTAGACTGCATCAGAGGTAACCAAAAGTCTTTGGCCTATTCTTTGAGTATGACCTCACATGTAGAACAGTTCAGTTTGTGTTGACTTGTAAACCTGACAAACTACAGGCATTGAAAACCTGCCCCCTCCAACTCACCCTCCACCACCTCTGCATGCACTGAAGAGGATGCAGAGACCAAGTCAAATCTCTAGGCGATGAATTGAGGCTTTGCTACTAAAAAGATTCCCCAGTATGTATTATTTTTTAGAACCTGGTCTTCACTGTTGAATATCAAGTCTATTATATCTCCAGCATGAAATTCATAAGTCCCTCCTATAGTTTGGATTCTAGAGCTGTTTATTAGACTTTGTATGATGATTGCATTTTTACGTAGCTGCACGGCAAATGGAGCTACTCCCTTGTAGTTTGGATCAAAAACCACTTCACCAAAAATTGAATACAAGGCATTCTGAAGTATCTTCAGCTTCCCATCAGATGTATTCTTCATGCAAGGAGGTTCAGGAGATGCCATTTGCCATTTTGAGGGTAAAGGTCCTATAAGAAATTTATAAGGAACAAAAAATGGAAACCATATTTTTATCATTGCCTCATCCTCTTCCTGATTATAATAAATTCTTTACCACTTACAGGTTATTTCTTTACTTGTTCTACACTAGTTTTCTCCAACTACATTTTTAATATTATAACTATTCATCTACTCCTTGTTTTAGAGAAGTTAAAAATCCTAAGTGCATGTCTTGCTTGGGGTGCTCTAAGGAAATGGGTTTGCAATAGACAAATGGGTTAGCTGGCTCCTACATCTCATTAGTTAATATTTGTGGAAGGAAGGGAGAAAAGTGGGAAGGAGAAAGGAATCACGTACCAGAGTTGGAACAAGTACAGCTAGCAATCTATGATTTTTTTCTATCAAAACACTATTTTGTATGACTTTTCTTTTTGTAGTTACTGGAGTTTGAAGTCAGGACCTGGTGCTTGCTAAGTAGGTACTCTACCACTGTTTATGACTTTACTGATGACACTTTCCTTAATCTATTCATTTGAATATAACATATTTGAGAACAAGTACTTCTCTCTTTTCTCATTACCATATTACAGCACTTAAAAGAGTTCCTAGTACCTGTATGTGCTCAAAAACCTTTTTTAAAATATGGGTGTCTTTATATGTTGCCCAGGCTAGAATCAAACTCCTAAGCTCAAGTAATCCTCTCACCTCAGCCTCAGAAAATATTTCCTAATTGACTGGTTCTCCTACATTCCTTAAATAGGTTACTTCTGTCTAAATTATTGCTCTTCTCATCAGTTTGTAGGAATATATAATTCAAGCCCCACTTTCAGTATCATTATCAACTACCCTTCTTTCAAAATAGCTATTGGTAAATTCATGAGTTTATAAATAGAAATTACTTGACTATTTAAATAGGAGTATTCCTGCTTAAGTTCTAGAAATGCTCTCTTCTCAAATAAAAAGGTATGCTTGTGCAGAAACCCATAAACAACCAAAAATATATTTACTCAAAGGTTTGCATATATCTAAGAAATATTCTAAAGTTCAACTTTCAGGTTTTTTCGAAGAAAATAGCAGGTGACTATAAGGAAAAGTGACTCAGAAGCTAAGAGAAGAAAAGAGCAGAGGTAGTGGCCATTTCCCAAGCTCTCCTTTCCTCTTTTGTACATTTACTAACAGCAAGGTTGGTTCCCACTTACTCTACTAGACATCAGCAAATATGAGCAGTACTTTGAGGAAAGATTGTAGAAATCTAAAACATATTGTCCTTAGTAAAATGCAGGATTAAAAAATGGTTGCTCTATCTCAGATTCACAAGCCTCTAAATGTGATGTGCATTTGTGTCCAGAGATGTGATTTTGTTTTTATAGGACTGTGGTTTGATCCCAGGGCTTCACACTTGGAAAGCAGGTGCTCTACCATTTGAGCCACACCTCAGTCCATTTTGCTTTGGTTATTTTGGAGATGCAGTCTCACTAACTATTCACCTAGGCTGGCCTCAAACCATGATCCTTCCCATCTCACCCTCCCAAGTAGCTAAGATTACAGACATGAGCCACTGGTGCCCAGCTAGAGATGTGGTCTTAAATGTGAGGTTCATCAGAGCATGGGCTTGTTGACATAATTTACCTATGAAACCCTCAGCAACTAAGCAGTTACCAAGCACATTATAAATGATTGTAAACAGCAGCTGAAAAGTGAACAAAAGAGAAAATATAGGCTTTCTTGAGAGCACTAACTCCTGCCTTCTTGCATCAAAAACTAAGAAGAGTAAAAGCATACAAGGTGGGTTACTCACCGAACTTAGCAACACAGGACTCTTTAGCAGTCTGCTATGGAAGAAAGAGGCCTTGGTTAGGATGCTGACAGTATCACTTTACTTTATTGATTGAATTATTTAGGGCTTAAGATTCCTGAGGCAAACAACCATTCCAGAGCCATAAAAAAATCCCTCCCTCCATTTTGTCTCACTCTCACAGCTTCCTTTGTAGATGACTGGTTCTATCCTTTACCTTTCATTACCTAGCTCTCCTTCTGGGTCCTTTACAGGAAAGGTAATGTCTCATTCCATACACTGAACCTCTACCCATGGGAATGCTATTGGATCTTGGCCCTCTCCCTCTAGTTTTCTGTGAACAGCAGTCTTTAATGGTGGAATAAAATAGTAAATATTCTATATATGTTTATTTCTATTTAAAATGATAAGAAATTCAGCTCTAGAAATATTTGCAACTTAGGTTTATGAAACCATCCTTATGTAATATTTATATATAGTAACCGAGATAGCCTCAGAAACAGATCCAATAGTTTCAAAGGATTGCAACATACTACAGTTTACATGCTAAAAGGTACAATTAATTTTACAAATGCAAGTATTTGAATGATAAATGCTCTAAAATACTTCATAGTAAGGCATAACCATAAAATTTGTGTACCCAAAGTTCATTGGTCTCCTTGTGACAAAATGCTTAAGAGATTTTTTTTAAACTTAAAGATTGCACATGTTCCTTTTTAGGATCTCCGCAGCTGCTGTACTAGGAATAAATAAGAGGGCGGCAAAAGCAGTGAGATCAGATCAGAGGGCATTGTATTCATCTAGACAAAAGAGCATGGTGCCTCTGATCAAGGTACTAGAGGAGGAGATGAGTGCTTAGAAGAAAAGGTCAACTGGCCAGGCATGGTGGTTCATATCTACATCCCAGCTCTTGGCTGAGGCAGAGGTTTCTGAGTTTGAGTCCAGTGTGGGCTACTTAGTGAATTCCAGACCAGCCTGGCCTTTGTAGTGAGACCCTGTCCCAAAACACAAAACAAAAATGGCCAACAGAAGTTCCTAACATATGCATGAAGTAACAGAATAAAAGAAACAAAGATGACTCCAAGATTTTGGGTTGAAGTTATTGGAAAGATAAAATTAATCACTGGAATGAGCAAGATTAATGAGAAATAAATTAATAAGGGAAACAGTCATGAGTTTGGTTTTGGACATGTTAAGTTTGTGATGCTTATTAGATATCCAGGTAAGGTTATCAAGTAGATACTTGTATCTACTTGACTCAAATTTAAGAGTTCTGGTGACATAAATTTAGGCACCTACAGCTTGCTGCTTGAAGATATGAAATTGAATGAGACCATCAAGTCAGGGAGTGTAGCTAGAGACAAATACAGGGACACTGCAATGTTTAGAGACAATGAGAATAAGAAAGAACTTGCAAGGGAAACAAAGAAGGAAAGGCCAGTGATTCTGAAAGGAACAAGAAGAGTGTGATGTTTGGAAATGAAGAAAAGAAAAGTATTTGGCTTAAACCAAAGTGAAGTTACAAGAGCAACTGATCTTTCTAAAGTAAACTAAACTGATTGCTGTCTAATGCTGCAGATAGATCAAGAAACAAGATGTCAGAGAATTGACAGTGTTGTATATGATGTGATGCAGGCAGAAGCTAATTAGAATGGAGTAAAAACTAAATGAGAAAAGGGAAACAGGGAGTTTTGCAATGAGGTAAAGTGAAAAAATGAGTGAAATCTGGACAGATGAGAAGTCATAGATGTTTTCCTTTTTGTTCATTATTTTTTTGTTTTTGACTTTGGTTCTGTTTTAATATGACAGAAATAACATGTTTATTGCCATTTCCTGGCAGTGTTCTGGTAAAATGAGGAAGGAGTAATAGATGAGATCCAGGATAGAATTGTAACAATGTCTTTGAGTACCTAAGGGATGCTAGGATTTCCTTATAGATTGCCTTGGTAAGTGCATGGACAATTTATCCATAAGGACAAGGGAAATACAAGTATGCATGGACACAAACAAAGGTGAGTAGCAGATATATGGAGGCTTTGGATTTTCTGTCCTTCCTACTTCTATTTTCTCTTGGACCCTGGAGGCCAAGTTACCAGCTTAGAGTGAGAATAGAGAAGAGTTATTGGACCTTTGAAGTGAAGCCAATAGTATGCAATAGTCCAGTGGAGGAGAGTGAATAGACTGGGGAAATGTAGGCTATTTCCAGAGCAACACTAAAGTCCCACTTGAAGTTAGTGGTTGTGAATTTAAAGTAAGAACTTTCAAAAAGGTCTTGTGGTTTTTTTTTCAGAGACACAGCACAGTTGGATTTAATAAGTGCTGGTAATTTTCCATGGATGGATTTATTATTAGAGTTTAGCAAAGAGAGAAAGAAGCAAGTGAGTTTATGCAAGAATGGGTTATAATTAAAGACTGGAATCTAGTTGTATAAAGAGAGAAAAGCAAGAATGGCACAAGGGGCAGTGCTATTTTAATTAAAATAAGTGTGTCATCAAATGATGGATTGATAATTGAGCATCATGACATGCTAAGAATGTGCAAGATGCATTCTTCCATTTTGATCTAATGAGGTAACTTTTCAGTTATGACAGTCAAAATCATAGATAAAAGTAAATTAATTTAGATGTAAGCTTCAAGTTGCTAAATCACAAAAATGTTAATTAAGAGTAAGAAAATAGGGTCAGACATGGTGATGTTCACCTCTAATCCCAGCTACTTGGGTGGCAGAGATCAGGAGCATCGAAGTTTAAGACCAGCCCAGGCAAAACGTTAGCAAGACTCCCTCTAAGAAACCAGGTGAGGTGGCACACACCTGCAATTCCAACTGTGCAGGGAGTTATCAGGATCACAATCCAAGGCTGGTCTCGGGCAAAAAGTGAGACCGTATCTGAAAAATAACTAAAAAGCATAGAGCACTTGCCTAATAAGTATGAGACCCTAAGTTCAAATTCCAGTACTGCCAAAAGAAATTAAGAAAATAAGCATACTTCAAAAGAAATTCACAAAATATTGGAACTCACAACTAAATTTATCAAGGTCCTAAAAAAAAATAAAGAAACATATATATCAAATTATTCTGTTAGGGTTAGGATTATAGCTCCATGGTACAGAACTTGCCTAGCAAGTATGAAGCCCTGAGTTTGGTCCCCAGCATCACCAAAAAAAAAAAAAAAACTCTACTTAAACATTATTTTAAATATTTTGTTATGCTTATATATTAATGTACTGTAGAACATAAAACAAAATGGTTTTACACTGTGAAAAACTGCATCAAACAATATTTGACTCCTCCATGTGAATTTCCCATTTTGTATATCTGTTTGGCATACATAGGACTAGGACTTGTGTATAACATGATACCTAACATATGTAAATTGGCAATTATAATGAAAACATCTTACTGATAAAGAAGTACAATTAAAAAGTCTGGAAGCCATTAATCTTAAAAATAAATTGGTGGATTCCCTGCGGTTGGTTTTGCTCTTGCAATTATTTCATTTTCATTTTGGTATTCCTTAGAAGAGATGCTGAAATTCAATTTAGTTCCATCCTTGATGGGCATGTAATGGGGACTTCCTTACTCCCAATTTCCTCATCTATAAAGTGGGAGAAGTAATAGCACAAAGCTCACTGAAGCTGTTGTTGGGCTTAACTGTGCTAATTCTTGTGAAGGGCTTCCCCGGGTATCTTGTCTGGACCTGCTTGATAAACATTACCTGTTATGTTAATGATGCTGATTATAATGAAGAATTAACAGAAAGTTTAAGTTCTTATATTCCCTATATTATACTAGCATTGGAAGTGAGAGAAACAAATTTAATATGTGGTTCTTGCCTCTTAATCTTGCAATAGATTGTGTAGATTGTGTACCAGCTGCTATCATGGATAAGGAGTGTAACCTAAGGCCATAACCAAATTAATTGTCAGAGCCAGAAATTTCGGATACTGTATTGCAGGCTGCTTTTGTGCCTATTTAAAGCTATAGAAATTGCCTCTGTGATAGCTTACAATTATTGCCATAAATGAAAATCTAACTGAAAAATTATCAATTGGCTGAAAGGTACCGTCTTTGAAGAATGGATGCACAAAAGCAAAGAATATCCATATTGTTAAATTTACATTCATTGTAATCTCTTTAATTGTAATGGCACAAATATTAATCACTCCCATCTATCGAAAGCCTATCACTCTTCACGCTTGTCAGGCACTGCTCAGCATCATTCATCCTTAAGGCAACTCTAAGAATGAGCATGCTCCTTTGCAGATGAGGAAATGAGGATGAGCAAGATTGAGTAACTAGCCCAAGGTCATGTGGCTGATAAGCGGCAAGGCTGAGATCCAAACTCAGCCTGTCTTATTCAAAATTCTCACACCTACGACTCAATGGGACAGTTTCTATTTATAATTCTGTTGATGTTTGGAAGGAGTAATTACCACTTATAAAGAAGAATATAGAAACTTTCAGTTTAGTTTAATTTAGCTTAGTTTAGGTTTTGTTTCATTTAGAAAAAGTTGTTCTTGTTACCTCAATTTGATTTAAGCCTAGACTTACATAGTTGGGCTCAAATTACCAAAATTTAATAATTCTTTCTCCAAACCAACCTCAATCAGATCATTCGGAAATAAAATCAACTCTGCTTTTAAGTACAAGTACAACTTCCCCTTCTGGAAGTATTCTTCATTTTACTGAAGCAAGGGACTTTCCTAAATAGTTGGTTTCTCTACAGACAACTTCTGTGAAGGTATTTTAACTGAGGACTGACCAACCTCTTTGACCTCATTGCCTATCCTTTTAGTTAAATCTCTGCTAAAAGAAACTGGGGGAAAAGAAAATAATTTTCTCCCAAGGAAAATTCTGTTAATCTAAAAGGAACCAAGTATTAGTGTCTAGAGAATCTGCAAAATAGAGCCTCCTATGTAAGAACAAGAGTAGAGAATAAAATTAAATAATGAAGTTTATGGGTACCCTGAGAAGGTGGAAATGGCTACCTCATAATGACTCACCATCCGCTAGCCACTCAGATCTCTTTTCCGAAGATAATTATTTGTGGTTAATAGGGAAAGGGAAGTGCCGGCAAGTGGAAAGTGGAATGCATGAGCTAATATCATTGCATTGTCAGCCAGACCATTGACTTTCCCACAGGAAGTAGTCTTCTAAGCATCCTGTCAGGAAAATGTCCAAACAATCTTTTTACCTCCCTAAATTTGGAACAAACCCTGTTTATAGGCAGAACCTTTCATTGAAAGATTCTTACAAGAGACTCCAGAATGAGCTAACCTGTGAAACTCTGGCCAATGCTCTACTTAGCCAAACTAAGCTAGTATATGAAGTGTACTGTTCCCTTCTACATCTTTTCTTAATTACTTTTCATTGTCTTAAGTGGTAGAACCACATCTTTGAAATCTTCCTTGGTCAGGCCCCTTAGAAAAATATTTCTACAGTTACCTAGCCTTTGCTTAAATGGGCATATACCTCTTTGTTCTCCCCAAGGCTCAGAGTTTTCAGATATACCCAGAAATGGATTAACTCCTGAATTATACAGTGTGTTTCTTTTCTTTCTGGTCATTGCTATGTAGTCAACAGGAAAAAAAAAAAAAAGAACTTCTAGCAAAGAACCCAACTTAACTTCAAAAAAAAAAAAAAAGAACTTCTAGCAAAGAACATAACTTACCTTCATTCCCAGTGCAGATCCCATTCTCTAGTCCCACAATTTAGACTACAATTCAGTGGGAAATTCCTGATAAACACCAGGGGCTTCCCACATAAACATATGTTTCCTCCTTCCTCCATGAAGCCTTCCCTGATTATCCCAGCTCAAAGTCATTGCTCCCAGTTTTGAATTCCTAAAGCATTCTGTTCCATACCACTCTTAAATAAATTATTGATCACTGTATTTTATAGCTAGCAGGAACATTAAATAAACAAATCCATTCCTCTACCACCAATTTTTCATGTGGAAAAGCTAAGAACCAGAGAGAATAAATGATTTTCTCAAATATTACAGCTAGTGTTTGGGAAAACTAGAACTCGGATTCAGACCTTCTTCATCCTGATTTAAAACTGTTTTTCCCCTCAAAGGTATACTAGTCACCTATCACTTACCTTATTTTGTCTTCCATTATCTTTTGGCATCTTTTTTTCCTCAATAAGACCATAGCTTGCCTGCAACTCCTTAAGGACAGGCACCACATTTTATACTTCTTTTTATTCTATCAAGAAGGTATAGCAGAATTCCAGGAAGGGGACAAACATCTCCATAGGCATCTGTCCATTGGCTAATTTAACCAAATAACTTCATCTAGATCAATTTTGCAGCTAATATTTGACATTTTCTGTTACTTTTTATCTCAAAACACTTAGTTCTAAAGCCATGTCACTATAAGATTGGAATTCTATTTACACTATTTGTACTCACAGATATCTTCCTTTCAACTATCTCTAATAATATTCAGTGACAATGATAATAACTAAACTAGCAAATAAATAAAGGATCATAATCAATAGGAGCTTTAGGTTCTTTTTCCTCCTTACCTTGAGTGGGAGAAAATTAAAGATTAATATAATGGAGCAGAGCGATAGCATAAGAACTATTGCTGAGTAGAAGGGCCATAGCTTCCTGGATGATCTCTGTGCTCCTTGAGGACTTGGGTGGCTCAAAGGCATACTTTCCATGTGGCTCAAACTCATTTTCTGGAGAGGAATGTGAGCTGTGGAAAGCAGAAGTGATAAATGAAGGATGCACTCTTCTGTTTTGTAGTATTATGTTAATTAGTAATGGGTGTAGGAGGCTGGAAGGCGGAGTTTTCCTTCTGAAACTCTTGTGTTGGAAAACGATACTTCAAGGCTAAGTGCTGACTCTCAGTTGGCACCAGACCAAATGTACAAAGGAATAGAAGGCTTAAAGCCAACACACATACAGGAGGAGGAAAAAAGCCAATATAAGGGAAGTTCCGAGGGAAAAAAATTCTTTCCTGAAGCAAGAGGAAGTACAGTGTGTGTGTACTGTGAGCCTTAAGGAGAATAAGTGGCTTGTTCCCATCTAAGAAAGCATTCCAAATCATTTCCAGATAAGAAAATTACTTTTATAAGAGGAAATAAAGTTTGAAATTTAGCTTATCATACTGTAGATGTCATGAACATGGAAGGCAGGGTGCTGGAAAACTAGAGAGGCTAGGATGCATAGCTTAGAAAAAAAGAGTTTTAATGAAAGTCACCACATTATATGTCTTACACATAGATGACTTTAATTTGTCAGTTATACCTCAGTGAAGTTGGAAAAATCAAATCTATGGTCTCAAAAAAGCCTCATCAATTTCTAGAATACAAAATGTTTTTATTCTGAGATAGTTTCTAGAAAATGCCAAAGTAAGTTATTAGAATTTAATAAAAACTTATAAATACTATATGCTCAATTTTCTCATGTTTTACCACTTAAAAACTCTGAAACAATTTTTAATACAATGCTTGTATCAAATAGAAATAAAGTTACTCAAAAGTTATTTTCCTGTACCCTGCCCCCAACCTGATACTACACTCTATTCCAAAAAAACATGGGTTTTCTTCCTGGTATCAAAAATGCTGATTTACTACAAATTGAGGAAGTTCACTGGCTTTCTGTACCTCAGCCTGTCCATCTGTTAAAATAGGATGGCTACCTTTTTTTAAAATAAATAATGCCAGCATCATACCCAGAAATAACATGGGCTTTTAAATTAGACAGACCTGAGAGGATGACTTGGTACTACTCAGTCCTTACCTGCTCTGTGACCTGAGGCATGTAACTTGATTCTCTGAGCTTCACTTTCCTTAATTGTAAACTGGAGAAAATTGCCACTTCATAGTACTTTTGCAAAAATAAAATAAATGTAAAACATTTAGCTTATAAGAGTGGTCCCAAGTGTTCGTATATCTCATCTCCATCCTCTTTAGAAATGTGGTGAAGACTTCCCACAGGAAATAACTCAGCTGAGGTTCACTTAAATGAAAAGAGATGAAACGAAAATCTTTAAAGAAGGTACTTTTTTAATCTAAAAGAGAAACAAAGGTTTTTAAATTAGGGATAAAAAGAGAGATTTTCCATCCTCATTTATGAAAGGAAAAGCTAAAGACAATAGTGAGTGAGTATTGTCTCAAACCACTAATATCTGGTTAATGATGCAGCAGAAACCCAAGCTCAGAGATACTGTTTTGTAACTCAACCAATCTGTTTCAGTAGCAGAAATATTTGTCACTAAGTTGTCAAAAATTTAAGTTGGTTTTATTTTACCTTGATCAATAAACTATACCTGACGAGAGTAATCACAGAATAATAACTTTTGAATGTGTAAAATGTTCTTATAGTGCTATATAAGATAGTATGTAGGAATGAGTACCAAACTGACTGTAAAAGACGAATGATGTCCTGATCCTATAACTCTTACCCTCATATGATATCTAGAATTCATATACACAAGCTTAGAATTTAAAATTGGTGAGTGAAAAGTTAAACTATTTCCTTCTTGCTCTTCTGATCTGGTCCTTCTCCTATCTCCCCTCCAAATTTACTCACTTCACATGAGGCACTATTCCAAAGTAAATCCAGTTCCTCCTTCTGCCCTTGGCCAAGGTTAGGTTCTGACATATCCTAATTGATTATTTTCACCTTATGAAACTATCTGAGGAAAAATGACACACTTATCTCAAGGTAACTACATTCTAGGGCCTCTTTTCATTAGACAAGGTTGAGAAATGGAGAAACTTCAAGTTAGTACAGGTGACATTAAAGAAGACTTTTTGAAATTCTAAAGTAGTGAGTCATAATTGGTACCTTTTCAGTATAAACCATGAGAATTATATGTGATGTCTCAGGATTTGACAAAAGGTAAATGAATACCAAACTCACAATTTCATGTTTATAGTCTGTCCTGAGTCAGATTATTTTGGAATGAGATTTTTAAAAATTAAATCCACCTAGAAAATCTATTTTGAACATATGCTATGCCCAATATTGTGCTAAGAGTTTTGAGAGATATAAAAAAAAATCACAGCTGCCAAGGATTTGCAACCTCACCAGAGAGACAGATGCCCAATAAATACTACATTTAGGACAATACTTTAGTAAACAGAAAAATCTAGATAAGCTGAAATGTCAAGATGACCAGCTAGACATGGATTACTCGAGAGGAGAAAGAAAGATACTAAAGGAGTGATAACATATGAAGAATAAATATTCAGAAGTATAAACATTTGTAAGTCTTAGAAATTTAAAATAAGAACTTAATATAAACAATAACAAAACCCTTTATCTTTTTTTTTTTGCTGGGCAAGGGATCAAACCTAGGGCCTTGTGCATGCTAGGCAAGTGGTTTACCACTGCGCTATATCCTTGAATCTAGTAATTTTGATTTAAGAGCTGAAAAATGAAAAATCTTAGAAGACCCATAAAAAAGACTGAAAGAAAAGGATCCAAGATATATTTGATTAAGCAATTTAACTGTATTAATGGCTTCTTTTAATTCATAATGAATTCGTTAATGTGGCAACTTTACTGTAGTTTAGTTATTGACTTAATTACACATTAGGCACCTACTACATGACTTTTCTGTGTCCACGTTACATTTGAATATCAAACAGCCTTGTACTGAAATCTCCTTCCATAAAAATGATGAAATTGACACTTGAGAGAATGAATAATTTCTACACAGAAGTAGAGGAAGGATTGAATTCTCATTTGTTTGACCACAAAATTCATTGTTTCTACTCCTCTGTGCAGAAATATGGCAAGTAGATCCCTTCTGGTGTAAATATAGCATGACATGAATGAAGATCTGCATCCTCCCAAATCCTGTATTACTCAGGTCTTCAATCCTTGCTATGTTCTCCCATGTTTAGTCACAGTTACCCAGCATGTCAGAATTCAGTGAAAAATATGATTTTTCCTACTCTGGATATGAGTATTCATTTGGCTTCAATATAGATTTAGCTAAATAGATGAAAGAGAGAGGTAGAGAGACATAAGAAGAAGAAGAAGAAGAAGAAGAAGAAGAAGAAAAGGTGGGGGAGGAAGAAGAAAAAGAAATGCAGATATGATATAGTTTTAAACTTGGACTTATAAAAGCAATAATAGTATCTATTAAAATTAATAAATGCCTACTCTAAAAAGAATAATGTATTGCTCACTATATGTAAGTAAATATATGTGTACATCAAAGCATATGTGTATGCATGTTCATGTATATTAAATGACCAAGACATTCTAAAAGATATACAGGAGCTTCTCATATCAATCATCCTCTCTAAAGAACAAGTAACAACCCTAATCAGTGCGGTCTAGGAGATATTTTGAATTCAAACTGTTTTGATTTCACAATGTGGAGACCCTCTTCTATGTCCCACATTACTTTGCTTTTTGTTTGTTTGATGTTTTTGCACACCATCTTTTTTTGAATGCTTGCCAAAGTTCTTCATTGTTTGTCTATGTTTTACTAGCTTAAATACAGCCTTCAAGTAGCATGTTCATGAGCTAATTTCTGTGGAAGCCTTTCTGCACTAGCCACCTGTCTTACTGCTGATATTTTAGAGTAGCCATGTGCTATTATCTGTCCCTGTCTTTCCAGCCTGTGTCCTCTATGTCAGTGGCATGCTATTTTGGGGGTGTATGTCTATAGGTCCTCTCTAAGAAGCATTGCAACAGTATCCTGGCAATGGGAGGAGCATCTTAAACAGTTTTTGATGAGAAATGTGTGTTCCTGCTTAGAATCTGTAACAAAAATAGATTTTCTGTTGTGCAATATAGCGTGATACTACCTACCTAAAACCATCAGACATCACCTTAGACACTGTAATGAGTGACTTTGTGGTTAAATCATATCTTATATCAAATAGATTGCCAGAGAATTATGTATTTTGCCAATAAATCCAGTTGAAATAAAAAGATCTTAAGGCTCTCCAAATCTCCTGTATTTCCTTGTACATCCCGGAAAAGAAAAATAAGTAGAGTGGGAAACTACTTTTCTTTGACTCTTCTACTTGGTCTCTCCCTTTGACAAAGTTCTAAAATTTCTCCCTCCAAACCATTACAGCTCTAATGGAGAACAATCAGCACATTCATTGATCTCAACAGTTAACTCTGATGTGTTCATATAAAAATAAATACCTGAGATACTTTCTTACTTGGTTTTCCATTTTTAGCACTGATCCTGCACCATTCAATTTAGTCATTGTGGTTCATGGCTGGATTTGTTAAGCTTGACAACTAGAAAGCAAAATGAGCAAAATTTGGCTTTTCTACAAAATGACTCTTAAATACAATGGAAGGATATTATTTAAGAGATTTTATTGAATGCCTTGTCTGTACTGAGTACACTGTTAGGAGCTTAGATGTTGATAGACAGGATCAGTATTTATCTTCAAATCTGTTATTTTGTTTCATTTTGTTCTTAAAGGCAGCTGAGAAAAGAGACAAAAATATGAAGACAATACAGGGAGAAGTGTAGTAAGAGAGTGAGCACAAAATACCCGACATCCCTCATAGGAAGGAGAAATTTTACAAAAGAGGTAATGTCTAGACTGAGATATAAGTATGAATAGAGGTTAGCCAGGTAAAAAAGCCCCAGAATAATCCATTCTTCTAAGCAATCAATTACTGATTACGTTAATGAGTTTTTTGAATAATATGACATACAAATATATGGTATATGTACTAATGT